ATTGCGGTGTATCACAAGTTTAAAATTAAACACCAAAGAGAGCTTTCTTCATCTTCTTCTGTCACTCGTCGTAAGAGAAGGTAATCTTTTTACATCAGAATTCATCCGTCTTCTCTGGAATAATCTTTGCTTCAGTCTCCAAATAATCTTCTCCAAATCGTCGAATGTAGTCTTCGTACCTGGAATGTCAGAAACTCTTGTGATCTCTCGATGCATTACCAAAAACTTAACCTCTTGATAACAACACTCAAAAGGCAAAGAAGTTAAATCCCTTACCAAAGCTTCTCTGCAAGGTTGTACCTAATTAACAAAAACAACAACGTTAGTCTTCTATAATACAAGTCAAAACTATAGCAACAAATTAGAGAAACAAAACGAAAATCAATTTACTTGGGACGGAGAGGGTATGGAGCTGTCTTAACCACATCATAGAAAATCTTACGATTGTATTTTTGAGCATTCTTCTTTTGCAGTACCTACAGTATAAAAGATTTAATCCGCAATCATACTTTCAAACAACTAGTAGTGTATTGTGTTCATCATAAGCAGACACTACTTTTCAAATGGCTACTTAACTACTTTTCATCATTACTATAAACTGCTCCCACCTTATTTGCTTTGTCAGCGGAAGCAAACTCTACAAAGGCACAACCCACATGTGCACCCCTGCGGTTTACAATGACTCGAACACAAACAATTTCTTCAACTTCTCCAGCATGGAAGCAACTGATGCTGTAAAAATGCAAGATAAACTATCAGTCATGAAAAAACTTGCTCCAAGAACGAAAGTAGAAATTTAAGGTGCTACTTACATATCTCGTATTCTATCTGATAATGTATCTGATATTATTCTTCTGTGAGGGAGATTGGCAACAAAGAGCGTCCTTTTTGTTACGTCAACTTCCTGAATTTAACAGCCAAGTGTGTTAGCATGACTCTAAGGAGAATAGAACTTAAATTACATATGGGTTTATAATAATTAGCCCTAGGCGCTCAAAGGCAAGGGCTTTAAAAAACAGTAGATACGTACAGATTTCATTATTCTTAGGAATAAATCACCAAAACAATTCAATCCACATCATAAAAAAGTAGAGCATAGAGCAAACATAACAGTTCTTATATATAGATGTTAGATCTATATATCATCATCACCATCATCGTAGTGAGAGATAAGAGAAGAGATGAACGTGAAAGGGTTTCAAATCATATCAAGCCTAAGAGGAGAGAGGAGCGTGAAAGGGTTTTTATATAGTTAAGGGTTTTCAATCAAATTAAGAGTTTCCAAACACATTAACACAATAGGCGCTCGCGTCAACAGCATATCGCTTTAGCCCACGCGCCACAAAGCGAGCGCTTTATGGAGGTTGCCTCACCTCTACCTCTAGAGGTGTTATTCCCATCGCATATAAGCTCGCCTTGTGCCTGAGTCGCGTTTTTAAAACCAAGAATTGCATAACAACAAAAAGTAGATTCATCCCCAGAATAAGTCATCTTTTGACTTTTTGGCAACTGTTCTGTTATAAAACGCTAAGCGTTTCTTTTCGGAGCCTGACATATTAAGAAGATGATAAGAACAGGTACCTCAACAAAACCGGGAGTTTCATCAAGTCCTTCCACTGCCTCATCTTCTTTTATCAGACGGTTTTCTTGTCGAAGATAGTCTTCGTACCTGGAATATCAAAAACCCTAGTGATCTCTCCATGTATACCAAAAACGTTACCCAATGGGCTCTTGAAAACAAACTCAAGATGCAAATAGTTAGATCCCTTACCAAACCCTGTGATCTATGAAATACCTAATCAACAAAATTAATAGCGTTAGTCTCTGTGAAGGCAGCAAAACTCTAGCAATAAGTTACAACCTGTGTAATAGAAACAAAGCTCCATAACATGGGAAATCAACTTACTTGCTTGGAACCATCTTAGCCAGTTCAAGAACAATCTTACGATCGCGCAAATATTTACCGTTCTTTTTTTGCAGCGCCTACAGTTTGAAAGATTTAGCCAGCAATCGTACTTTCAAATAACTAGTTGAGTATTTTTCATCATAAGTATACACTACTTTTCAAATGGCTACTTTAGTACTTTTCATCATTACTATAAACTACTCTCACCTTCTTTGCTTTGTAAGCAGAAGCAAACTCAACATAGCCATACCCCCCGTGACCACCCATGTGGTTTACATTGAGTCGAACATTAACAACTCCTCCAACATCTTTGAAGAAATCGATGCTGTAAAAATGGAGTATGAAATTTTAGTCATGAAAAACTTGCTCCAAGAGCGAAAGAGGGAGTTAAAAGGTGCTACTTACATATGTGATATATTAGTTTCGCGAGAGAAATGGAAAACATAGAGCGTCTTTTTTGTTACGGCAACTGCCTGGATTTAACAGCCAAGTGTGTTAGTAAGACTCTTAAGGAGAAAAGGGCATAACAACAAAAAGTAGCGTCATCTGAAGGTTCATCCCCAAACTAACACATCTTTCGACTTTGTGGCAACAGTTCTGTTATTAAACAACGCTAAGCATTATTTTTGAGCCTGACAGATTTCGAACAGGTACCTCCAGAAAAACGGGAGTTTTACAAAGTCTTTCAATTGTCTCATCTTCCTCTATCAGAAGGCTTACTCGTCGAAGGTAGTCTTCGTAACTGAAAATATCAAAAACCCTAGTGATCTCTCCATGTATCGGAAAAACTTCAACCAGTGTGTTCTTCATAACAACCTCTATAAACTGAAAATAGTTAAATCCCTTACCAAAGCTTGTCTGCAAGGTTGTACCTGATAAACAAAAACAGTAGCATCAGTCTTCTGCAATGGCATCAAAACTCTAGCAAGTGTTACAGAAACAAATCTTCATCACATGGAAAATAAACTTACTTGGGTCGTGGAGGGTATGGAGCTGTCCTAGCCACATGAAGAAAAATCTTGTGATCGTGCAAATATTCACCGTTCTTGTTTTCCAGCGCCTACCAGATAAAAGACTTAATCAGAAATTGTGCTTTGAAATGACTATATAAATACTTTTCCTCATCGTTACTATAAACTACTCTCACCTTCTTTGCTTCGTAAGAAGATTCAAACTCAACAAAGCCATGGCCCACATGCTTACACTCTTGGTTTACAGTAAGTCGAACCTGAACATTTCCGATATCTTTGAAGAAATCGATGCTGTAAAAATGGAGGATAAGATATCAATCATGAAAAACATGCTCGTGAGAACGAAAGACGAAATCTAAGGTGCTACTTACATATGTGGTATTTCAGTTTGGGGAGAGAGATTGGCGACAAAGAGTACTTCCTGAATTTTAACAGCCAAGTGTGTTAGCACAACTCTAAGGAGAGAAGGACTTAAATTGCATAACAACAAAAAGTAGCCTCATCTGAAGATTCATCCCCCAGAATAAGTCATGTTTCGACTTTGTGGCAAATAAACATTGCTAAGCGTTAGTTCTGAGCCTGAAATATTTTGAAGATAAATAAGAATAGGTACCTCTACAAAATCGGTAGGTGTCTCATCTTCTTCTATCGGTAGTCTTTCTTGTTGAGGGTAGTCGTCGTCGTCAGGGAAGGTAATCTTCTTACCGCAGAATCCGCCCGTCTTAGGTTTCTTCAGAATGGGGTTGGTCTTAAAATCATCTTCATTGTAACTGGAATATCAAAAACAATAGTTATCTCTCCAGGTAAACCAAAACCTTTACCCAATGTGGTCTTGTTAATAAACTAAAGAGGCAAACAGTTAAATCGCTTACCAAACCACCTTGTGATCAATACAATACCTAATTAACAGAAATAAAAGTGAGTATTCTGTAGTGGCATAAAAACCCTAGCAATAAGTTACAACTCTCCATAACATGGAAAATCAATTTACAGGTGTTGGGGAGCTGTTGTAGCCACATGAAGAAAAATCTTGTGGTCGTGCAAATATTCACCATTCTTCTTTTCCAGCGCCTACCGTATAAAAGATTTAATCAGCAATCGTGCTTTCGAATAACTACTTGAATATTTTTCATCATAAGTATACACTAACTTTCAAATGACTATTTAAATAGTTTTCATATTTAATATAATAAACTATTCTCACCTTCTTTGCTTCGTTAGAAGAAGCAAACTCGACAAGGCCACAACACTTATGCTCACCCGAGGCGTTTACAAAAAGTTGAACACGAACAGCTTTTCCAACATGTTTGAAGAAATCGATGCTGGAGGACAAAATATCAGTCATGAAAAAACTTGCTCTGACAAGGAAAGTGGAAATTCAAGCTGGTTACTTTACATGTCCGATATTAGAACTGATATTTCAGTTTCGGGAGAGAGATTGGCAACAGAGAGCGTCTTTGGTCTTACGGCAGCATCCTGAAATTTAACAGCCCCGGCAACAGTTGTGCTAAATTGTTGAAAGGTAACAAAGCGTAGAATAATTGAAAATTTTTTTAAAAAAAAAGTATACCTTGGCTTTGATTAAATTAGCCTGGTCAAACTTTATCTCCAATAAGTCGGCCCTGCCTTTTTTCTGCTCAGCAAATCCTTCGGTTGTGTCCTGTTACGAGTAGCCATTAGAAGATCTAATGTAAAGAAAATTCTTGTCAGAGAACAAGAGGATTCCGAGGTTACCTTCTCCTCGGACAG